CGCCGCGTCCTTGACGATAGCTGCGTTTTCAAGCTACATGCGCAGTCTAATCGTCACGAAATCCGCACTGCTCACTGATGTCGAACCACGCAGTCTAACGGGATTTTTCTGAAACTTTGACTTAGGTTAAAATAAAAGTAGACGTTTTCAAGTCTCATTTCTAGTAACAATAAAAAGGGTTTAAGAGGAACCTATCCACCGTCGCCAAGGCTTCCGACTGTGCCCTATATGCTTTCAGTAAGGTATGTCAGAAATTTGTCCTGATCAATAGATCCTCCTGTTAACTTATCTTTTCGAATGGGCAACTTACACCACTTTGGTTTAAACAATTTTTTAGCGCGTGGACTGAATCACACTGTGCATGATGACATTACCCTCCATTATTTTCTGACACAGAAACGGCATATATTCCCTATGAGTAGCTATCAAGGCCTCTCAAAAGGTCTGCATGAAAACCATGAATGAAATGGGGATATAAGACTGGGCATGCGCTAGGAGATAAGATGTGCAATCAAAAGTGTGAAAGTTCGTACACGATTTACTACATATTGTTTCCACCTTTTAATTTGTTAGTCTCACTGCTGCGCTCTTGATTGCGGCAGATCAGCGCATCCCTCGCTAACATAAGTCACTGGCGTCTGAATTAATCATGGTGCACTTTAATTTGTGACATGGAAGGTTGCCAACCGACGGGATAACTTGATCCCGTGGCAGGCGGGCTGGCAGAGGGACTCGGCGTCCGTGTAGTAATTTGTGTTTGTGACATTTTTGCGAACGCGAGATCTGACTTACTCATCCCTTTATTAAAAACTGGTGCATTTTTGAGAATCAAATGGCGTTTGGCATGCGTAGAAGGGCAGTTTGCCTTTGTCAGCTACAATGTACGAACTCCCACTTTTACTTGTCTTAGCAAGGTTTCGTCACTGGAGCCTGAGCTGTAAGGGAGGAGAGAGTCTGGTAAATAGTGCGGTACGTCCGCCTCACTAAAAAAATAAATCAGGCGCATCCTACTGGCAGGCGAACATTGCCGTCGCTTACGAGGGTCAAATTGTCAGTCAGCATGATTTCTGGGCCATTTGACATTTCGAGATGTCTTTTTTCAGGACAAGGTGCACTGTCAAGCAAACAGCAACAACCTTAACGAGTTTGGCGGAAGTAGCATTTTTTGATTTACTTAAGGTGTGACACGGAATACCGGATTCCCAATTCCCTACGAGGTTACAATCGAGAACGTTTGCATACAGTCGCAAGACGCCGAACGACCAGTGCCGTGCTGAAAGAAGTAGGAAAACAATAATTTTTAAAGTGTACAGATTGGATTGCACCGAAGAAGGAGATGATGGATTCCAGGAGGATTCCGAAGTGTCAGTTCAAAAAGGCTCTTGTTCCGTCGATCATGGCTCCTTCTTCGCGACTTCTGTCTGGAAGACGCCACTTCGCTTCTATTAGTGGATTGCATTTTGGATTCTTCCAAGACGCTGCGTTTTAAATAATTCGAACCGGCTATTTCATACAGGGTTATTCCTTCTCAGGTTTTTTTTTTTTAAATGGGCTCTTTTTCAGTTTTGCTAATACTTCTCTGTAATTTTGGAACAAAGTTTTTAAAAATTAGAATAAACGAAGCATTAAAAAATTAGTCCGCAACCGATCGCTTAACCTCAGCTATAGTTGTAGAACGACACTGTCCAAAGTCTTTTTTACGCTTATGAACAGTGAGTCAGTTTGCTTAACAGTAAATGTTAAAAAAGGCTTTAAATAGGTTGTTCATATTATGAGAACTTTGTTTTATTATTCTCGGTGTGGAAATGTAAAATATAAAGCGCGTTAAACAAATGAAACGTGTCCCCTAATGAACTGAGGGCATATTTAAGTAAATTTACCCTTTTTTAAACTTAGGATAGGATTTTATAATTTTTATCTATTTCCGCCCTCTGATTCGACGCATAAATTATGCCATTTACACCTTAAAACGTTGAATGTATGCAAATTATCTCAGTAAAAAGACCCTCTTCGCCCATTATATATGTGTCCTTTCAGATTGGCAAAGTCGAGAGATCCGGGTCGATTATTTAAAGAAGAAGAAGAAGAAGAAGAAGAAGGTTGGCTCACCGGAACAGGTTTATTAGAATGCTGACGTTTCGAAGAGCTTGGTCGGCTCTCCATTGTCAAAGCGTAAAATGCACTTTATCCACCAGGAGTCCTAAGTGGCGTGTCACGCTAGTCGGCCTCGTGCTGATCGATTTTTTTTCTCTCTCCTCTTGCTGCCGCAGCCTATCGGGGGATGGTTGACGGGTGTTTTGTCTGTGTACGTTGTGAGTCACCACTCCGCCGGGGGGGAGGTGACTGAACCAGTATCGGGTGGTCGGTCTGGCGGTTCTTTTTCTTCTTCACCGAGTAAACTCGCCGTCGGGCTGTCTCCCTGTAGCGTTCTTAAGCTCGGTGTGGTTGTTTGGTCCTGAGCTCTACGACTGTGATGACGTAGGACTTTGTAGGCTGCAGGAAAGTCCAGATGCCTGTGGATGGAGTGGGCATCGGAGAACCACGCCTCGAGAGTTAGCCGTTCGGCTTTTGTGTTGCCCCGGCCTAAGATGGTAGCTCGCTAAAGATCGAAAGTATGCCCAGTTTCTCCGACGTATGTTGCTAATTGAGAGTTTGGGTCTAACCTCCGCGTAGCCGATTTGTGCTCTTGTAGACGAGTCTGCAATTTCCCCCCGGTTTCTCCCACTTAGTTACAGTCGCCCTCTTTTCAATTTATTTTGTAGATAACCGCAGAGGTTTCAGCGGGTGGCAATGGGTCCTTGGGTTGCATCTGACGGCGTCGAATTGTTGCCTGTGGTCGGTGGGCTATGCCTACTCTGGCAGGTTGTAGCAATTGAGAGACCACCTCAGAGACCCCTTTAACGTAGGGAATGGCCCTCCAGGTTGCTGCTCATTTGGTCGTTGTCTGGGCGCCCAACGTCTGCTTCTCTCGATGAAATGTCTGGGATAACCATTGGCTGCAAATAGGTTTTGAAGATACATTCGTTCGGCTCTTTTATCTTCTGGCGTGCTGCAATGTGTTTCGACTCTTTGGAATAGAGTGCGGACACAGCTACGTTTGTGAGACAGAGGATGGTTGCTGTTGAAGTGTAGGATCTGTCTCGTGTCGGTGGATTTCCGGAATACTGCTGTTTGCAGTTGTCCATTTGTACACCGGCGCACAAGCACGTCAAGGAATGGCAGTTAGTTGTTCGTTTCTGATTCCATCATAAATTGGATATCCGGGTCAACCGAGTTCAGTAGTTCCTTTAGGTGCTCACTATCAGTTGTTTTGACAACGATGAAGGTGTCATCGACATAGCGAGCCCAGAACTTTGGTTGGTACTTGGTGAACACCGAGTGTTCTATCCGTTGGAGAACTACTTCAGCGATTAGGCCTGATAGAGGGGAACCCATAGGAGTGCCTTTTATTTGTTCGTACATTTGTCCACCACGATTGCTCACTAGCCTTGATATGGTGACGTTCGGTTGAAGATATTTTCGGTCGCCAACGCAGGAAACATTCCGTTGTCTTTTATCAAATCATTCATCTACCCTTCAGAAATGGCGCAGACTGAAATGTCACTTCAACAAATTTTCTGAAAATGCTGCCATTTACATAACCGATACTTAAAGTCCATGTTTATGTTGTTGCATTTTCTTTTCGCTTTGAACACTATTGGTGTTATAAAATGGGTTAAATGCAAATGTCGTCCAAGCTTAACCTGCGCTTTAATTTTTAACCGCCCGGAAGACTCATTCTGGTTCCTATAACCTACAGCTACGCGTCTAGATAGAATATTACACATCAAGCTTACCCTTTTAAATACGACCAGTGATAAAATACTCATTGAATTAAAACAAATTTGCATGGTATTTCTATGGTCTCGTTTCCTAAAAAAGACCAAACGTCTTAGAGAAAATTACAAAAAATGTTTTTGATTTCATGATAATAGTCTCACTAGGTCTATCAAAATAGAAAATTGCATCGACGTGGAAGATTTAAAGCCACTTTCCGACATTTTGTAAAACATGGAAATCTTGTTTTGAATGACCTTGTGTCCCCGTAAATTCGTCATGAAACATTACTTAATATAATTTAAAAGTACAACAACTTGCGTTTTGAGAGTTACAATGAACCCAGTACATTTATCATCTCCCAAACCGAAACGTTTACGGTTCGTCAGTAAGCCTGATTCAATCGGCTGTTGTTATAATCTAAACAGACGCCACAGATAATTCTAGTTTTGATTGGCTACAATAGCTGACCAGTAGGACAGCGTGTACAGACGTGACCTAGCTAGTCCCTAAGCATGAAACTAATATATCTTACCATGTGCACGACTCCCCCACTGAATAATTCAGGTTGATGTCACTTCCTTAAGGAGTTCGGCAAAATAAGGATGAGTGAAAATACAACAGTCAGCGGTAGAGTTCCATGTATGAAGCAGGTAGCTTGGCATGGAGGTTTAACCTACCGAGAATTTTTGGATTATAATCGACTGATATTCCTCTCAATCCTCGGCCTCCCCGTGTGTATCGTGGGCATATTCACCAGCGGTCTTAGTATTTGCCTGTTCTGTCGTGACAAGACAACGCCCCGAACAACTCGAAAGATCCTGATTGCCATATCCCTGATTGATGTACAGTTTCTCCTCTTCTCCATGCTCTACCTTCAACCCTTGACTTTTTGTGGTCGAGGCTGTCCCCTGCGACGGATTTTCCTATCTAGTACCTACATTATGCTCATCTTCCCATTCGTTAATATTCTTGAATGCCTCAGGAATTGGATGGTTGTACTTATAGGTGTAGAACGCTTCCTGGTGGTCTGTTTTCCCGTCCGCAGTAAAGTCTGGTGGAATGGGAAGATAACCAATCGCCTAATAGCTGCCGGCATTGGATTCTCTTTTTGCGTTCGACTCCCATTAATTTCTTACTTGGCAATTGAGAATGCGGGACCAGAGTGGTCTCGAGTGGCGGAAATGCTCTACCACATACATTCCTGCACCGATAGCATCATGGTCACTCTGATCCCACTGGTGATCCTGATCGTCTGCAGTCTGCAAATCGCACGTGGCCTCAAGCATTCGGATCGTTTTCGACAGGAGCAGACGCATCAGCAGCAACCCAATGCGTGGAGTGAGGGTCATAGGGAGAGCACCAGTTCCACCAGCAGTGTTGTACGACGTGTCAAACTGACTCGTGGCCTACTCATTGTCATCGTCACTTTCACACTGTTCATGCTCCCCCTGGTGCCAGTGAGTATAATTCAAATTGTTTCACACAACTTCTTCCCCTCCTCATGCGTCTATTTGATCACTCTTCACATCTGTTCGTATGTGGCGGCACTTGGCTCGCAGTTGAACTCAACAGCCAACTTCTTTGTTTATATCGTCTACTGGGGTAAGTACCGGAGATTGCTGCAGCAAATGTTGGCTTGTAAACACACGAAACGAATACAGTGACCCATTGGAGAACTAAGGTGCAATGATTTCGTCCGCTGTTGATACGCAGAAACGGTTCAGAGGCGGGGATATAGACCTGAAACGTCTGGCATTAAGACGCTGAATATCCATCGCTCAGAATAAATGACCATTGCAGGCGCATGCCTGTCTTCCCTCAAGTGTACTGAAGTACATCAAAGACTGTTCTACATTCCTTTCATTCGCGTCCCCATTTCTACACGGGTATTGTTTGTACGTTGTACCTTTTTATCGTTATAAATTTTCCAATTCAACATGTGCCTTGTAAATTGTCTAGATGGAGTGCAGTTTTAAGAATTAGGTTTTAACCATTTCCAATTATTGAACATATAACTGATTTTTTTGATATTAACATCTGGGTTATTTAAGGAATACCAGACCAAAATAAATGTAAGCGAGATGTTCTCGTAGTCATATCAACAGATATACTTTCTGCGGAGGTCTATCTAAATCAGGACTTTTCGAAATATCCAGGCATATTCAAGTTTACATTCTACGACTATTTCCTTCGAGACTGTATGTACTCGCCTCCCGATGATGGTGTAGACGGTAAGATTACGGACTTCTGTGAATTATTTGCTAAAATCAACAGGAACTCAACTGAATCTCGAATAATCTTTCAAAATGTCTTCCGTAGAAGTAAACTTCTTGTATTTTCATCCTAATCCACACTGTCGCCCCAACAAAATCCCCCTTTTTCCATACCACGCAGGATTCCCAAGGTCAGAACTTTTAAGCAGTTACTGACAGCCTACATACATTTTTGCCTGCAACTATTGAGAAGCTACGACGCAGGTAAGCAACCATCTGTAGTTCTACAAGCTTATAGTTGAGAATTCACTGTTCGATGTACTTTCACTTGGGCAAATCTATGCGCCATCCCAAGTAAAGTGCCAACTACGAGACAAATCACGGTCGGGTTACAGAGCTATGATATTGAATACCTTTTATAACTGTCATTCATTATAAATTCAGGAGAACACTTAGCAAATATGTCGTTGTTTGTCTCAAGTTATGTCATCATCTGCTATGGGCCAATCAGCACAACATGGCCCTTGCAGCCTGGCGTGCGCTGGTAGTTCTATGACCCCTGGTTCGCTGCCTATATATGTACCTGCGCCCCCGCACCTTGAGCATCACTTCCCAGTCATCTTCGTCTTTTTTACCCATTGTGGTGCGGTTGTTGTTCATTAAAATCCTGATCATGTGTTTGGTGGGGACCAATGGGGGTAACAATCGGGAGATGGCACCCAAAAAATTCGCTACCTAGAAATAATACCTTTAACAGTGGACTCAAACGCCTTCAGACTATATGAGCAGTTGCAGGCCTACTTTCACGCATTACCTGGACTTTCCCCAACGGCCTAGCATGGCCGAACGAACATCGCAGGAGGTTGCATGGACGATGCTCGCTGTTACCCAACCTTCCCATCGGTACACACGTACACCTGAATATACGGCACACATTCGCATTATGGCAGTTTCTCACATAACAAAAACACTTTTAAATAGGATACGTCAGCACGACAGGGGACAGGGGCAGTTCCCAGGCATCTGTCAAAGACATGGCATTGAAGCCGAACCAAAGACGATACTGTACTTCGTCTATGTGATCCCACACAGCGCAACCACATACAGGGCCTCCCTCGGGGAGTTTCCTTTTAAGTCTACTCCAGTATGCCTCAATGGCATTGGTGTGCCGTCCGGTGGTCGGGTCCTTGGAGTTCTTTGAGAGGTTAACAGAGAAATGTAGTAAATGAAGTAAACAAACCCAGCCATCTTTAATACGGAACCGGTGGATATGGGGTTCTCACAGGTGGGGCCGCGGATCACACAGCCGACGAGGTCAGGTTTTTGTATGTCAAAATAATACTTATTGGGAATGTGCGGTTGTAACTTGAGGGGTTGAGAAATAGCTGTCCAAACCCCTAACCCCTAACCGTAACCGTAACCCCAGACCATAACTCCAATTTCAACAGTGTTGTTTTCATCAGGTGGGGCAACATAATCACATCTCACCTTCTTTACTGTGCCTTGTCGCAGGGATCAGACAGGGCAAGAATAGAGAATGCGGTGGATGAGGAGCAAGTCTGATACCACTACGAACTTATTCGCATACGGCAGCCGCACAGCGCTGCATGATATAGGCAGAATTTTATTACCTGCAAAGACAAGGGAGGCTGGAATGGCCGTTTGTCGTCAGCCAGTAATACCCAACACCGAAGCGTTACCCCGTGACACCGTTGATATGCCTTTGTACATGCACTCTACAGCATACAAAGTAGGCAGGCTCTTCAGTAAGTCCAATTTTTCTCTCACGTGACATAATATCCCACTGTCGGAATGTCTCCCAGAGGAAGGCCAATATAAGCGCGCAATCAATTACTTTCTGAGGTTGCATGCCCACATATAAGCCGACCCTGTCTCACTGCAAGCACGTTTATGGGCGTCTGCTAATTTATAGCGCAATTCTGCATCTTCCGAACGTAGTATATGCCCGCATTAACACGCAGTGGTACGAAAGTGCGGACATGGGAGGGAAAACAAAGCTTGTAGAGAAAAAACTGGCAGCCTCCTTTTACCCGCACAGATATATCCTCAAGATAGGTCTCAGATGCGTATAGGTGTCCATGAAATTTTTTCTGCCTCTTTTATGCAAAACCCAGACCGAAAATTTATAATGATTACTTTCGTGCTTCAAGCGTGAGTCCCAGAGGTTCAATGTGTACGTTGAGATTCTGTGCCAGTTACGGCTGACCAGATCTTGCTCCGCAAAAGCTTGAATAATTCCGGCCTTCTAATTGGACAGGGATTATCCTTTAAAGTGTGGTAACTTTAGATGAGCACAAACTGCGGCAAGGATTACTTATAGGTCTCCCTAAACAGGACATCGGGATCAAACGTCCCGCTTAAGTAACGAAGGGGATCATGCACATAATTCCAGGGAGGTTACATATTTCCGTGTCCATACCCAACACACTGGCAGTAATATATGCCTAAACGGTAGCCCTTATGGTGACCCTAATGCTGTTAAACCAAAATTTCCCTGTTATATGGCGCAAAGCCAGCTGCGCTAGGGAAGGTTCATGTTCTTCTGCCTGTTTTGGAGGTCATATAGGTAAGATGTGGTTATGTGGCTGCATCTGTTGGATACAATACTGTTAGGCGTTAAGGTTGGGGTTGGGACAACTATTCATCAACCAACCGCACAATCCCAATTGCTTTTCTTGTGCATGCAATTACTTGACGTCGTCGCCTGTGCTTCCTTCGTCCTCATCTGCAAAAGCCCCTATTACCGCCGGTCCCGTACTATAAGTGGCTGAGGATTGTTTACTTCAGGTGCTTAGAACATCGAGGAATTATCAGAAAAACGAACGTTTGGTAAAATATGGTTATATAGAGCCACCAAATGGATGCAATACGGTTGGATTGGTAGAGGGACGCTCACCGATCGTTCTTACGGAACTCACTCGTTCCGTTGTGCCTTATGAGCTCTCTCTCGATCCCAACCAGCAGCCGCACAGCGGCGCATATTAGAGGCAGAATGTTATTATCGACAGCGGCAAGAGAGACTGGAGTGGCCACTTCCGTCTTAGCAGCCGTCGTCAGACAGTTGGTCTTAACAAAGCGTCCATAAAACAAAACGGAAAGAGTGAGTTCCGTAAGAACGATCGATGAGCGCCTATCTACCACTGTATATTCCCGATCGAAACCGACAGGACAGTGGTTAGAAGCGCTAGACTTGTAGTAGGTCGCGGGATCGAACTCCAGGTTAGGGTTGAGTATGACTGGCTGACGATGGTTAATAAGCCCGAAATGGTCATGCCGGTCTCCCCTGCCTTTGTCGGTAATAGCATTCTGTTAATGGTGTTAGGGTTGGGGTTAGAAGATATGGTTATGGGTAAGGGTTAGGAGTTATGGCTAGGTGTTAGAGTTAGGGGATAGGGTCAGGGGTTAGGGCATTTATTTCCCAATCTGTCCAAGTACAAGCACGCATTGTCAATAGCCTTTCGCCTGCACACAGTTGATCTTGTCAAGTGTGCGATTCCTGTCTCCACCTGTAAAAATCTCCTATTAGCACCCATCCTGTATCACAGATGTTTGAGTGTTGTTTACTTCAGATGCGGCTACATAATCACATCTGATCCTTTGAAATTATTTTCAATTCAATAATAATTATTGGCCCGGTCGCCTGGTTGTCGCCTGTGCGTTCCTCGTCCTCACCTGAAAAAACTCCTATTGCCACCGGTCCCCTTTAACAGGTGGTTGGACTTTGTTTACTTCAGGTGCGGCTACATAAACACGTCCGAACGCCATCTAGGTAATCCTTACTGATATTATTAAGTGGGTCAGTAACTAACGAGAAATTCACATCCATGGCACAAACTGACAACTCTGATATCCACAAAATGTGCAAATCATGTGGTTTCCTTCTTTAAGAAAAATACTAGCGAAGTTTGGATAACTTCCGCGAATTGCCTGTTTTTACTGTTATCTTTATCCCCGTGAAAATAAAAGGGCGCTCTTCCAGCCGAGTTGACTTACGTAGCTGTGTGGTTTCTGATTTCGAAAATGAACAACGACTTTACTCAACACAGTTACCCTGTCTCAGAATAAGCACAATCATACCTTAAGTGAAATCTATGAATTTCTCAATAGAGCTATATGAGCTTATGTGGTAGCGCGCGAACACAAAAACAAAATGGTTATATATCAAATAGCCTACTGTTGTGCTAATATGGACACATAATTGTTCAAACGTTCATACATTCTGCGTTACACAGTCACGGATCAATAATGTTTATCTTTACTAATAAGAGTGCTTCCATATCAGACCTATGCCGACGCCTAAACGCGTTCGCCAAGGACACTTCCAACGTGTGATGTTTATCTAAATGAGAACTTAAATATTCAAGACCGGCCGAAAACAGTCACTTCAGTTCGCACACGTGCATTGTTTACCTTCAAAGGTTTCTGGATTGGCTCGTTATAAGGCCACGTTAAAACGTCAAAGTATGCATCCGGTGTTTTCAAATCTTTATTATACCGTATGTCGATTGCAAAACAGTCACCATTTAATGTTGTGGCCGTGGGAATTAAAGAATGCCTAATACGAGAATGGTTTCGCTTTGAAATGAAATGTAGAAATATCCACAACCCATCTCTGGACAGCGGAAAACTTGACGAGGATCCGAACGATCGGTAATCCTACCCCGTAGGGTAAAGATAATCTTTGTACTAATCCCAGAAGTATGGATAGCGATTACTCAATCTATTAAACGTTTCACTTAAGTAGATTAATTGCTGTTTGCAGAGCAGAAATAAGACTTGACATTCTCGACCGCTAAAACCCGGTTATCTACCTGCAGTGATGAGCGTGTAGTGGAAACGTGGACTTAAAAACGACAAACAATGATATATACAGGAAAACTAACTCCGAATGGGGGAATTGTGCTTACCAACAAAAAAGGATGTACAGATTCGAAGTATCAGAAAAGGAATGTTCCAGACTCACGCGAAGTAGAATCCTCTCAAGTAGCGAGATAGTATTCCGATGAGGAACCGGTTGAATAGAGGCAGTCGGTTCCGCGATGATGTGGTGAAGTAGGCTTGTGAGGAGGGAGTCTCCGTCAGTTAATACGAATTACTAAGAATGTTGAGAGGTTACAAGCGAAGGCCAAGAAAAAACGACATAAAGCACGCTCGACACCAGAACACACGTTGACCGCCGCAGAG